GCTTCATTATTTTTACTGACACAGTGGAGCGATTTCAAAATGAATCCTGGCATTTGAAAATGTAAATTCATCTATTGACTAATTACTGCTGTATAAAGAGAAAAATGTCCCTTTGCCCTCATCACTGTTGGCAGGAGTTACGAAAGTTGTTTTCCTATATTAAATCCGTCTTTATCATGTAAAGAATTATCCATGGAATAATTTGAAACATGAAGTCAGTTCAGTGAAAAGACGTCCCATTTGAAACAGGACTTTGCTTTAATCACGTACATAATAATAATAATAAAAAAAAATTTTTTTTACTTTAATGTTTTAATTGTTTCCCTCAAATGTCTCCAAAAGTAGCCTTGAGGTTATTTTTGGGACATTTTGTATGAAAAATCCCATTGGTTGTGTATTTTAAGGCAAAACCATGCTCATATTGAGCAAAATATTTAAATCCAATATGTCTTTTTTTATAACTGCAGTTAAAAATGTTAATAAAATATAATAAATATTCACTTTTAAATAAGTAGTCCAGGCTGAACATGTTAATCATTTTATTATGGATATAAACGACCATTTTTAATAACGGTAACTTGGATTGAGAGGGACTGATGATTTCTTTTTTGTGTGTGTTTCTTTGCTCTCCGCTGATGATCATTGCCCCTGGGCTGTTGCCCCTTGGCATCATTTGCTTCTCACTTTGTGCTGTGAGACACAAAATAAAAACCTTTTCTGCTCAAAAGCTCCTGTAGGACCATGTGATGAACCCTGTTTGATGACACAGTAAATGACTTTTATTTTCTGGAGTCTAAAACCCATTTTTCATTGGTGTAAAGGGGGCAAAGGCAGGGTTTTGGTGTGGCAGGTGATGAATGGTTAGTGGGAGGGAATCCATCTGCTGCATCAACACAACGGAAATGGGATCGTCCGCTGATAAAAAATTGCACAAGGAGAGACAAGCCTAATTCTCACACAAGACCCAAACTCACTGTAGAGTACGAGAGTGTGTGTGTGTGAAAGAGAGGATGTGTTTCAATCTGTGTCTCTCTGTCTCTCAATTGGTTTCTCTCTCTCTCTCTCTCTCTCTCTCTCTCTCTCTCTCTCTCTCTCTCTCTCTCTCTCACACACAAACACACACACACACACACACACACACACACACACACACACACACACACACACACACACATACGCGAAAGAATTCAGTAGTGGCTCTGAGCCATCCTGACTAAATACAAACTATCTATCATCTGAGATATTTCATACTTCCTCAATTCAATAAGCCAATATGATTTATGTAGTGGCTCCAGCAGATTTGGTCTACACTTATCTTGAGGTTTAGAAATATAGACAGTAATATACATTAAGGTCCTTGTGTTTTTTAAGTGCACAATAATATATATTTTTTAAAATCTCTTTTCTCTTCCCAGTTTGAAACCATGTCAAGTTTTCACTGAATCTGCTTGAAGTTTTAGGTTTGACAGATTCAATCGCATTATATGTAATTACATTGTGTTCATAAACAGTTCTAAGCCGGCCAAGATGCGAGCTTCCTGCGAAGTGGCAAGCTTTAACCCTTCCACGGGTAAATGTGTTTAGCTAATTGCTAGTTCACCTGGATGTTTAGTGTGCAGAATAACCGATGAAGGGAGAAAGTTTCTCTGTGCTCACCTTAAATCTGAGTTTAAGATGAGCTACTTTGAAAGCAATCCATGGTAGAAGTGTGATGTGAAACTTGAAACATCCGGTGTGCAGACACTTTGAATAGACGTCACATAAATATGCATTCACCTATATGCCTTTGCTACTCAAAATAAACATAATACTGCATGCACTAATCTTGCCATACTGTGGTCTACTGAGTGCTTTGATTGTATTAAAGCCTTTGCTTACAAGACTGGACAAAAAACATCACTGAGAGCTTTGAAAAAAGTCAGCAAGCAGAAGACACCAAAACCCTTCATTCTACCGCTTCACACCAGAATGAATTCAAAGACTTCACCAGATCACTATGCCAGAAATATCGTTCTCCCATTCTTGTTTTTATAGGAACAGCACTCTTCCATCATCAATCCATTCTCCACAATTTTCTTTATAAAACTTACTGTTATTGTTTGGTCGGGGCCGGGGGGGGGGGGGGTGGGGGGGCACAAATGATTTATTAGACATTCTCATTTCTGTTGTCTTAAGTTTTTATTTATGCTCAGATATTTTGTGGAAGCAGCATTTTTTCCGCGGGTGCTGGGCCAGCGAATAAACTGCGTGAATGTAATATGATTTGCATTCAGAAGTGTTCCTGTGTGTTGCTCTCACAACTACAAAGCCGTCTGAGGAAGGAACGGTCTCCCCTCAGTGGGACAGCATACAATTGTTATACAAAAAGCCTTTGTTTGTGCGCTTGGTGATGCAAATCATTTTGAGATATTGTGATGTTTGTGAGTGAATCACTATAGAATATGGGTTTGTAAATCTGATCCATGTCTCTGCATCTCCATATTGATGTGTCTTAAGTAGTTTCTGAATGCATGTACCTGTAAGGCTAGCAAAAGTCTTAGTCTGCAGAGGAAACACTATAGGCCTTCTATAGGCCCAAAAAACTTCAAAATACTGTTACAGTATGGACTGATACAGTTGATTCCACTAATCTTGTGAAAATGCTTAAGCCAATTTTTCTATTTATTTTTAAGCACATATGGCTAGAATTCTTTAATTTCCCTGCAACATGGTCTAACACAAGACTGTACTCACAAATAAAAATGGTGTTTGCATTCGTTCAAATGATTAATAGGACTAATATTTGTATTTACCTGGCAAAGACCTCTAGCTGCAGTGTGAATTATGAGTGTTGTCTGTCATGGACAACGGGGGACATTGTTATTAGAGCCATAAAACCTCGAGAAGGTCGGGTTGGAAGATAGGGTCCATAAAGCCTGTGACTTGGACACGGAGGCAGATGTTAATTTCCCATTTTCTGACAGTTGTTAACATTGGTTTCTTTTAACCATGACTGTTTTCTAACTTTAGAGCTATGGTTCAGGTCAACTACTATATGGGTATCGCTCATCGTGAAGACCCCACCGGCAATCACCTATTTCTGAAAGTCCTCTCAGCACTACCGAGCATTTTAATATCTTTCAGCTCATTTTGTTGAAAGCTCACAAATTTATTGTGTCACCGCTCTTATCAGCATCTTTTCCAGTTAACAGAAGGCAGCTGTTTTCCACCTGTCCCATCTCCAAACAGCTGACAGACAAAGTTAGTGACTAGCTGGTAAACATAGCAGCTAAAAAGCCCAATGCCTTTCCCAGTAGTTGGTGGAGACCAAACATAGAGCTAAAAGGAGAATGAAAACTGGACTTTTTCAGGTGGCCAGAACCACATCTTCATTGTGAATGCTGATGTAGCTCTGCGTCTGCTGGATGTGTAAATAAGGAACTGTCTGTTAACATTCACATACAGTATCAACTGTATGAGGTGATAATATGTCAATGTTGGGTTCAAAGCTCTCTGCTGCCCCAAAGTGACCAATAAAATCAGCTAACACAGGTTTAACCATGCAGTTTTTTAACCATACCCATGATATTTTTTTTAACCCTAAAGCCTCGAATATACTTCGGAGCAGACACTTACACGGACAGCTGCGGACACCACGGACACAGACTACTTCTGTTTATACTACTTTCTGGAGTCAGCTTGGCGTACTCGTTCCACACATGCGCAGTAGATCGGTTGGTTGCCCTGGTAGCGTAGTCACATTTTTTACAGGTCCGCCCTAACAACAACCCTAGCAGACCCTCGTGTACTCACGGACGTGGAAAGTATAATCCTTGCTTAACCAAGTATTTTTTTTGTGCCCTAAACCTAACCAAATAGATGTCACTAACTAACAGAATATGTTGTCCCGTTGATGGTGGTGTCATTTTAGAAAAGCAAAGGTACACAACACGTTTTGTCGGTTTGTTTTCTAATGCAGTTCACTGCTGCTGTCTTATGGGTTGATTTGAGAGCTCAAGTCAAGCTGTCCTCATACTACGAATAAAGTATGACATTTACAATAAAGACAGTCATGTACATTCAAAAAATAATAATACTTAAATGTGCACGCAGTCTGAGTTTGCATGTTGATTTCCCTCATGAAGATGACAGCAGAGATGAGTATCTCTCCCTCTTACTATGTTTGAAGAACTGACAGTGGAGCCAACTTCCTTTTGTTTATTTAATCAGCCTTCTTTGCTGGAGGAAACCCAAGTGAAAATGACACCATTTTCAGAGATTTTGCAATTCCTCCGAGCTGAAAACAACCCGGCCAGCAAAGCATGTCATTTTATCTCTCAGAGGGTGAGCGAGACACCCTCAAGAGCAAACAGAGCTTAGTTTTGTGTTTGCATGTGTGTATACGCGTGCCTCGGGAGGTGTGCTGCAACAAAAAAACCCTTAGCAGCACGCCAGACGAGGAAAGCAAATGAGTGCTTTTTCCTTTTTCCCCGTTGATGGAAGGAGCCTTGATATGTTCCTGTTTTTTCACAGCAGGCAAAAGTGTACGTACTTATGCCTCTGTGCACTCTTGATTGTATGTGTGTGCTTTTGTTTGTGTGTGTGTGTGGCTGCATGTGTGTTCTTTACGTTTTCCTGCAGTGGCCCATTATTTCTCTATGGTTATAAGAGAGGCAATGGAGGCACTGCTTACAAATTGAATACAAATACTGACTTATACTGATAATTTCCAGTCTTGATGTTTTAGCTTTTACACAAACTATAAGAGACAGAGAAGACCTACAAAAGGCTTTAGTGTATGTTTCTACGTGTGGTACACAGCTCAGTTTGTGTTATGTAGTGTGTGGGAGTTGTAAACACCTCTGCCATGTTAGAGGTACTACAGCATCTCTGTCTTTATCACCAATCAATTTGCATTTAAAATTCTTTCCAGGGAATGCTGTATTCTTAAGTCGGAGAGAAAGCAGTTCAAATGTGTAAATGGTGTAATGTTAATTTAATCTCTCTCCTCTCCTGGACAGGTGCAGAGTCAGAGAGAGACTGGCAATAAGAGAAAAGGTACTGTGAACACACACAAGCACAGACAGACGCCTACGTGTAGAGATGCATTAATGAACATCCATATTTTTCCCCCTGGCTATAGTGTAACGTTCAATTTAATGGTCTAATGTTCCTTAATGACTGCTTTCTGTGCGTGGGCTTATTGTGCATCTATCAACCTGAAGCACATCTAATCAGACAATTAGCCCTCATCTTGGGCTAATTTCCATGTATGTATTCATCAGCACAACTGACTGTCTAATAGGAACACAACTGGATTGTCACTTCTGTATCACATGGTAGGCACATGCACACACACACCTTTATCTATCTGGACAAACAGAGTAAACACACGGTTCGAAGTCAGCCAGCTGATCCGTGGACATTACCGACTTTGGCGACAACTACGCTCATTAGTGTGAGTAGGCCTACGTGGTGCAATAAAAACTTCACTAGTAAAAAACCAATACTTTACCAACACACCTGTTTAATAAGCATAAACACGCAAAACGCGATGTCTCTCATCTACTGCAGTTGTGTTTTGGTTTTACACAAGACAGAGCTAGTTCAGCTAATAGCTTATTGTTACAAACAAGCTAAAGTGAAAGCTGTCTGTCTTCAGTAACTTTTTAGCTTTTTTTGCCACATACATTAAAATATGGCACATTATAAACTCAGCTGGCAGCTGAGACAGACCAGCACTCTTCTCTACCAGCAGCGGCAGAGGAAGGAGGACAGGAGGGACTGATTTGTTCATTCTTTCTAAACTTCACTCAGTATGTTGTAGGAATATGATTTACTGACATTTTAGATTTGTGTCTAGTGAGATATTAGTGACTTTGCTGTTGTAAATCCTGTTGCTGCTCTAGAAACAACATTTAGTTAAAAAATGTTACATTCTTTTTTAAAATAAGATATTAAATTATTATTATTATTAGGAATAATAAGAACTGAACCAATAAGGATTACCAATACAATGTGTCAATAAAATCCTAATGATCCCAACTCCTGAGAAAATGTCCGGCCCATCTCTGTGTCCTGGTTTTAAAATCCGGCCCAATTGAATTTGTAACTGAATAGCCCTGGTCCACAGTAATCATAGTAGCATATCTTCCTTGCGACAAAATGTACATTAAACTGAATGCAGCATTGTAGACAATATTTTGTCCCTGTAATCCATGTTTCCATTGCATGGATAGCCTTTGGATATTGCTGGAAAGTCCCCCTCCTTAAAGGTAAAATTATTATCAACAATTTAATAATGCATTGCATTTAAACAGCGCTTTTCATACACAAAAAGCGATACCAACTTATAACAAATAACAACTGTACAACAACAATCAAGCCAGACCAAGGGCATCTAAGTTTTTGCTGGCATAAAGATGGCAGTGGCACATTTCAAGTCTTTCTTGGTAGATGGGGCAGCTGAGATTAAGTTTATGTTTTGGTAGTTGCTTTTCCACCAAATTAAGATATCAGCAGCTGCTCATACCCTCCTTATCAGAATCTCATGGTCTAAGAGCTGTTTGTCTTGTTGAGTTGGCAGAGGTGCAAACACAGAGCTAAAAGTCTCCTTTCCCCTTTGATATACATTTTCAGTTAGTATATCGTACGTAGTGACCAATTTAATGCCTTTTAAGCCATGTATTGCCATATATACATATGTTGTTATGCAAAATGAAATACTCCATTCAATGCAATTAAGACTTGGTTAGATTCAAGGATGAAGCTTCTTGTAGAATGAATTGCTGCCTCAGCAATGATGTGTATGTATTGATATGTATGTATATGTATCTGCACTCACTGATCTGGGAATATGCAACAATCATCTGCCTAATTAAACATGGGTTAAATGTCTAGGGTGTCTTCATCACTTAATTACATTTTCTGACAAAATAGGTACATGACCTACTCTTATTTACACACCGAGCTGATAAAATATTCCACAAAGATTTCAATTTTGAACAGTGATTATCAGGAGTGTAGCAGGTGTCCTGAGGACACGTACCAAAACCTTTAACAGCATTTTCTCTGGATAATGAAAACACAGCTTTTAGTTGTACAAACAGGATTATGATTCTCATCCTTGCTTTCCACACAGGCTTTGCAGTAGTGGCATTATTGTGTGCATATTAATTACCTAGAGTTAATTTAAATGCAACATTTCATTTGCTGTAAGTAAAAAAAAAAAAAAACAAACGCACTTTTTATACTACTGTAAGTTACACGTTACAATTGTTGTGATCTGATTGCTCTACCTTATTTGCTGTTGCATTACAACCACAACAACAACTGCTTTACATGTTAAATTATTAGATGTGAGTCCATTACCTGAAGGTTTGAGCTGGTTAGACTCTGTAACATTGCAATGCTGTGTGTGTGCGCACAGCTCAGTTTTGCTGGAGGCTCAGATATTTCTCATGTCAGTGGTTTGATCTTAAATATATGAGGTTAACACAGAGCACATCATAGTGTAGTGGCGGCTTGTCTGCAGATATATTCCTAGATTTTTTTTCCACAGAAGAGAATATAGAAAGTGAATGAACAACGAAAGCTGTTTGGGGATATAACATCTTCATCGTCTTAATGGAATACTTGGAGAGAGCCACTTGCAGCAGACAGAGAAAAGAGAATTGCTGATGGAAGGAGTTAAATGTAGAGAGAAAGTGAGATGGTGACTGTCAGTTTTTTTGGCACTGGTGTTGTTTTACTGCTAACCTTCCCACTGATTAAACTGTTATTACTGTGAGAGTCATTAAACATGATAAGGCGAACACCCGCAGTACTAGCCATGATTTGGAATCTACAAAAGTACTAAATATCATGTGGTCAAGCATGCTGAAGGATATTTATCCCAGAGTGAGCCGGTTTATTCTGACTGAGATGTTTTGATTGAGCTTAGCTTCTGGTTATTAGCAGAATGAAAGCCTCTGTGTCAACATACAGCAGCTATTTAAACAGGTGGAAGGGATCAGAAGACAAATGACTGGATGATGGGCACAGTAGCATAAAAAGGTAAACCTCCCATCACAAGGGAAACTAGACATCCACAAATGAGCGAGTGAGTGACCAAGAAAGATAAAGAAAGGCAGGGCAAAGAGGGAGGCAGCATAAACAGAGCGGAGACAGGAGGTGAGAGTGACAGCAGTGGAAGCCTTTGATCTCAGGTTTCTAATCAATGGGGATTATGGTCTGCGTGCCAGTGTCAGTCCTAATTATGGCAGCAGCACCAGGAGACAGTGGTGCAGCCAGAAGAGGGGTAGACAAACGGCTTCTTCTTCTAACGAGAGGTGCTTTGCACAGCCCTGTCTAGATGCATCTGATCAGACATCTGAACAGTTTAACAGGACTCAAAAATTCCACGTGCAGATGGATGGATTGATGGATTTCGAAAACAGGCACAAAGTGTGAATACAACCCTGATGTGTAAATCTTCGACACGCCCAAATATAGTCTGTAGAGACAGTCCTGTCACACATAGTCAACCAAAGTGCTACATTGTGACTCTGATATGCCAGCAGTGTGGGAGCGCGTCACCACTGTAGGGAGTAAACAATGAAAATGCACGACACAGGAAATCGCAGGAAACATAACGTTACAGAAGACTATAAACTGCAACGCGAGGACAGACAGACCCTGGAGAACTACTTGAAAATCTGTGAATGTGAATTCTTTCAACTTTTACTGACAGCAGACAGATTTCTTTGGAATATCTGGGGAGTTATGATGTCAAAATCTTCGCTGACGTTTGCCTGAGACAGCTTTTGGAATATGATAGATTATGCATCTTGTCCTCACTGTTTTTCTCCTCTTTTTCATTACTCATAACATTGTAGGGCACAGAACACACTGTTCACTTTTTTGCATTGTGGCGCTAGGCAATATGAGCAGATTAATTCCCAAATCATTTGATGAATTTACATGAATGATATTATACTTGCAATATATAAAAATGTTTATTTGTTATTGGTCATCTTATTGATATCACCAGGCAACTATGAAATCCTGCACATCATGATGGGTATTGCTTTGAATCAAGATATAGTCACAAAATGGGATGTAGAACAAAACACATGGCTGGATGATGACTGGGTGTTGTAGGTTTTAGGAAAAGTTTTCAAAAGTTCCTGGAAAATTAGAAGATTTAGGTTGGACGGGGAGTCCTGATATTGGTATCTGTACATTGTTAGCTATGGGTGATACATATGAACTTCATATAAAATCACCCATTCATATAAAATCTTTTGGAAATGTACCATTTCTTTTGAGACCATAGTGCCACCTAAAGTGCAATTCCACTATACCAAGTTTACCAACATTAAGGAGGTTTTGAGTATGGTAACCTGGGGAAACATGGCAACATGCATCTACTTTTTCCACAAATTTTCCTCCTGAACTAGTTTAACTGTGAGGGTATAACCAACACTTGGAAACAAGAACTGTGCCTTAAATGATGCTTTTTTTTATTTATAGCTGTTCCCTTACTGGTTAGATTTCTATTTCTACTTTGGCTCAGTTAAGACCATGCTGCTGAAAACAGTCAGAGCAGTCTGTCACTGTGCCAGGCTTTCTGCTAATGAACTGGACCTTTGTATCTCCTCCTCACCAGGCTATTTCTGGAACTGATAGCATCACAATCTGATGTCCTCGTACAGAGATGTAGCCGAGATAACCCATTCAAGCTGCCCTTACCTCTGTCTGTACTGCAAGCTTTGCCAATTTGACCCTGTGTAGGCGCAATCAATACTGGATGTCTTATCAGTCTGAACTCACCTCTTCAAAACCCGAACTTGCCTTTAAAATATGGTAGTGATGCCTGAGTGGTGTTCTTGACCGTGATTATGTTCAGGTGCAATACATAATGTCTCTAATGTTGTGTTATAGCTTTTAAATAAACTATAGTTACTGATTCATGTGTGTTTTCTAAGTAGTATTCTTATATAAAATTGCCAAATAGGTCCCTTGATACTACAAGAGGCATCTTAATTACCATAAAGCTAACCAAAAACAGTTTTGTT